TTTGGCAATCCGTTGTGTGAAATTAAATAATTTTTGCCAACCGTAGATTTATTGGGAATAAGATATTATGAATTAAAGCGAAATCAATATTTTAAAAAAGTGTCTTTTATATTGATTGTAATTCACAAAATAAAGTTTTTAATCAATTTGATTTTAATCAACTCAGACTTTCGAAACATCGTCCACCTAATGCCAATTCCACCTAATACCAATTCTTAGTTATTGTTGTACCAAAACTCAGTATGCCATGCATACATGGAAACCACATATGTTGCAATGTCAATTACATGAATTTAACTCTACATTCTTCATAGAAAAAATCTAACTTGATTTCCCAACATTTGAATATGAGGCTTTTACGCGTTTAGATAAATTGCCCTATTATTTTTTTTTTCGCTTCTGGCTGTTTTTCTATATTTGTGTTAAGGCATATTCAACAAGGTAGAAGTGACAATTCAGTCGAGCACTCTCATAGTTGACTGTAATGTCAACAAATGTAAACAAAGAAATTAACCCTTTGTTATGCATTTACCATATTTGATAGAACTCAACATCTTTGAAATGAAAGTTTTTGTAAATATGAAAATATTTAAAATCTCATTAGAATCAGCTTCATTTTATTTATTGAATTTTCGGTTTAATGTAAATGTGGAAATGCACACTTACACAAAATTACACACTAAATGAAACACACTCATTTATCAATCCGTTTTGACAATTTTCTTGCTTTTACTATCCCAATGTTTTTGTGCATTTATTTTTTTATTCAAATACTTAATTCTAAAGAATATTAAAAAAAGTTTGATTCTTCTAAATTTACATCAGAACTTAACCTCAATAATTTAGATATTAAATTTTTGCTTTTCGAAATTTTCTTTACATTAAATTTATTAAAAATTACTTTCAGTTTCTTTATGTCAACAAGGAATACTGATTTAGGTTTTATCAGGCCAATATTTGAAATTTGGCCTATCCATGTAGGTATATCAAAGGGAGATTTTCTTTTCATATTCAGTATGATAAATCCTGCACCTGGGACCAAACGCGTCCACTTAGAAATACTCGGCTGCGATAGGCAACAAATAAGGTCACGACCACACGTGAAGAGTCCCCTAATGAAACATCGCAGCAATTTGCCACCGTTGTCGCTTCACTTGACAATTCGAAGGTTTAAAATAACGCACAAGTTTGTTGTCCAGACTCTTGACAAACACAACGCACCTCGCAATTCCTTTCCATTTTATTATGTATTTAAAATCAATCGCACAGTGAAAATTTATATAAAGAAAAAAATTTGAATAGTATAGGGTTAAGAGTTGACATTTCAGTCGCAGTTCAAAAGAGAGAAATGTCGAAATCACTTCTACCTTGTTATGCCTTGATTTGTGTCGAAAAAAGATACACATCAGCAAACTTTGCGATTGTCAAAATTTTCTATACATTTTTCAAAAATTTCACTAACCTCATGGGCCAAGGCGAATTAATATAAGGTGGTGTTACTAGCTCAGCTGATTTTGTGTATGTGTTTCGCCGCACGGCATCTGATATCAAATTGAAAAATTTTTGTTTGAATTTCTACACACACTCTTACAGATTTTGACAGTTTATGCCGCCAAAACAAAAACAAAATACATGTAAATTTTTGTTTTTGTACTCCTGCTATCACCTTATATTAATTCGCCTTGTCATGGGCTATTGAAATTTTATTCAACTCAAACTTGTTCAAAATTTACTCGTAGCCACAGTATACAGTAAACCAGCCATTGACAATATACTTATTTGAAAATTAATACATGAGATATTGTGAATGTCTAGGAATTTTTTATCATTAACCCATAGGCAATGACTGATGCAAAAGTATCCACAAATATATTTCAAACGTAAATTTGAACAGCGAAATTTGTAAAAAAAAATAATAATAAAACAAAAATATGTTAAATACTACGTGGGAGGTGGGCGTGGTTATTAGCAGATTTCGCCAAAATTTAACACTAACATAAATTATACCAAAGGCAACTTCGACACCGACTTTCGTTAAAATATCGAAATTTTATTCGAGTTAGCGTGTTTACAAACAGAGAGGGCTGAACCAGTTCATCTCAGTTCACTCAGAGTTGTATTCGGAACACGGTTGACTTATGTAGGAGCTGCATCCGGTCATAATCGCTTCCCACCCGACCAAGAAACGTATGTTAGCGGATGTTACGAGTTTTACGATAGTTTCTCTTACCCGCAAGCTCCGCCTCACCTAAGAGTCTCGTATTTCAAACGTTTCCTCGTTTTCAAACGTTTTTCGTTTTCGCTACTTTCTCGATAATCGAACTGATCGAAAACATTGCCGTTTTCATTAATTTCTCGATAGAGAAACGGATCGAAATAACTTCCGCCTGAGATACGTTTCGACTATCGAAAACACTTCGAAAAACCTTTTGAAAACGCATGTCGAGAACGAGAGTTCCGCTGCCACAAACTGAGCAACGGATAATATTATTACGATACTTTTTCGGAACCCGTTCTCAATAGGTTTGTAAGTGAAAGCGTTGCTAAACTATCTAAAACGGATGCATTCTCGTGTACGTTGGTCGGGTGGGTTACTGTATACCGTGCTCGCAGCGAACTTTGTGACCGACTCACACACGCTCTAAGTTAGATTTAAACGTTTTCATTTCGAGTTTACACTTCGTTCCAGTTTACCGCATTGCTAAGTACTACACTCGTTTTTTAAATGTCAGATGATTTACGAGCCCGTAACTATATGGGCTACATGGTTTTCGAGATGTTTTGTGTATATTTTTGGGGTACTTGATTTCACGTACCTTTCCGACAAAATGCCTTATACATATTTAAAATATTTACTTCATGTGTAGGCTTATTTTGTTGAATTCTTCCCTCCTTTCTGTGTTCTATAAATCTATATTTAGCGATAGCATTGAGCCTGAAATATATGCAGCTAGATATGTACATACATACATATGTACATATGTATGTGCGTACGTTCAATGTAATTATTCGAACATATGCCGAATCACAAAGTATAACAATTTGCTCGTGTTATTTTTTGCGAATGCTAACTTTCGTTAAGTTCATGTAAACAAAAAAGGCTTCGCTCTCATTTTATTTTGGTTCAACAAAATGTGCTCCACGACATGTCACAGATACTAACTGTCATTACACGGTATGCGCTCTCACGCCAAAGCGACTGTGTTTTGCTTTCGGTAGGAAAGCTTTTAAATTTTTATGAATGAAAAGCTCCTCCATAGTCCGCGTAGATTAGGAAAATTTATCACAATTTAGCAACTGGAATGGGGTCGTTGCGCTGGTTTCGTTGACCTGGCGTAGTTGGCTGAATGAATTTAGGCAACGAATGACTAATTTATACACAGACACCCAAATATTTTCTGCGAAAAGCCAAATGTAGCTATTAAACTATAACCTGTGACTAAGAGATTAGATGCTCTCTAAGAAAAAGGAAGCAACGAGTAGCAATGGGTCTGGTAGAAAATGCACAAGGCTCGTTAATGTAATTAAAATCGTATACAAGAAACAATTTTTAGTGTGGTTTCCTAAAAGAGTTGCGTCATTTACATTATCGGCATTTGTCGTTGTGAAGAATATTCACCAACATTAATCAAAAACTTTACCGTTTAAAAAATTTCAATACTTTCTCTTTTAGTTAGTTTTTATTTTCATGTCTGCTCCTTTAAATATCCATTGCACGTTTGATACACACACAGGCTTTCATAAAGGTGCAGGTTTGTTTGTTTGCAGTTAAAGTCGGGCGGCTGTTTTACTTTAATGCAATGTTCCTATTACACACTCCCACGTATGTGCATATACATATGTATGTATATGTATGTATGCACATTCTAAATTTAATTTCTTCATGAAATCCATATGTATTCGTTGTTATCTAGCCAACTTAACGAGCAGCGAAAGCTTAAACGGACAGCGGCAGACAGCAACAGAGTATGCAGGATATGCACTGAAATTATTCTTTGAAATGTGTCAAGTCGCAATGGATAGAAGAGAGGTGAAAGGCGGCAGACCACGAGGACAAAGCATGAAAGCTTTGCCCAATGGGGTAGAAAGGCAAGGCATTTTTCTTCTGCGATTTTTTCTAAAAATAAATCAGATTTTTTGCCAAGAAATATATGTATGTAAACACTCAGAGCTCATGTACAGAGTTTTTCTTAAACGCTTGGTATTACTTATTAAAAATGTATTACTTATTTAAAAAACTTGTGTTTTCTAAAAGCTCAAAGTCCCGAAGGTTTTCTGTTCATGAAAAAAAAATGAATTTCACTCGTGTACGCAAAAGTAAATCTTACTAACCACTAAGCCACTAAGTTTAATGAGTTATCGAAACGACAATCGCACAAAAGTTATTCACACACTTTACAAAGACCTGGTTTTTCACAATTCCTTATATAGAAAATTTTTTACAGGCAAAGACAAGCAATGCCGTCGAAATAAAGTTATGTCCAGACTATTCGAGCTAACGTCAAAAACTGAACTGGACGAAGTGAGTCAAACAACATTGAACCCAACAGAGCTTCATTGAAGTTAAAAAAGGTGCTGCCAGATTACATTTGATTCTACACCGAATAGTGGTGTTAGTATCTACTTACTTATTCGGTTGTTTATTCTCAAAGCCGCTGAATGCGCACATAAATATTGTTTCCCATTTTAAGGAAATAAATAAACTCAATGCTGGATGCAATGATAATTTGTCTGAACTAATGCAAAACGCATATACTCCTATTTGCATACATACGACGTGTGTGTCGAAAGAGAAGCAGCTTTTTTGGCGTATAAGCATTTTAAAAAAAGCTTTCGTTAAAAAGCTGTTGGGAACAAGCTTTGTTTACAAAAGTTTTGAAATCAGCTTTCTTTACATTTTATAAGGACGCACGCGCAATAGAATCTCTCTTTCTCTCTGTATATTAAAGCTAATTATATTGGTAGAACTTTGCAAATAAATAATTTATTCTTCCCAAAATATACTTAAACTTGTAAGGATTTATTACTGACTTGGTAAAATATGCATTTGTATATAATATGCCTCGAGTTGATGAGTAATAAAAATGACAGTCTTCAAAAGACAATGACTAGATACAAAGATGATGGACCGTTAAAATACAATAAAGTAATATAAAATTTCTCCCTTTCACTTATTCCTTCCCATCTAGAATCGAGTTATTTTACTGCTCTCGGGTGAGTCTGGTAAAGATGAACACTCTGATCTCGTGGGGCTTCCCCGTTGTGGACGAGATGGAGGTCTCTGTGGATTTATGTTGGCATTGGCCTGACGCAGGTTGGCAAAAAATTGTTGACGTCGTGGACCACCACCGCGCAGTGGAAGTGTAGGAATTTCACTTGGAGACTGGGCCATTTCTGCTTGCGAGCAACTACGCATAGCTGGATTAACACACTCATAAACGCTCTATGGAAAGAGAACACAGGTCATGTATCAGTAGTTGAAATTTCAAAAGACCCCATTCTGTCTCAGCATTTACCTGTTCGGAAGAGTACTGATTATTCTGCGCGAAGGCAAGCGAAGTAAGCGACGGCAACGCCTGAGCAATGTCCGAACGCTCAATACCGCGCACGATAAGAAACGTACGCGGAATAAGCACTCCCACCAATATGGCCCAACCGGTGGCCTGAAGACCCAAAGGAATAGCTGCATCACGTATCTCATCTCCGAAAAATGACATTCCAATCCAAACAATCCAAATGAGAAAAGTCAGCACTGCACCAATAACAATGAGGATTCCTTCCCGATAATTCCGTTGTGAGCGATATATGAACGGTACCAGGGCGACAACTCCCACCAGCAAGATGAAATCGTAAGCGACCAAAACCCACAGCCAGTGTCCATAGTACATATTCTCGCATGATATACTCTCAGTGGCGACATGCATAATCACAAGCAGCTGTATGGACATACCCAACTGCACGAAGATACTGAGAATGCAAATGACTGCCTGAATGTAGCCGTTGACATGGGACAAAAATCCGCCCTCTGAGCCGATCGATGCTAGCATTACGGCACGGCAAAGCAGCAACGAAAATGTAAAGCAGTAGACGAGGGTCATAATGAAAACGCGCACGGCGCAAAGGGTGTTCAGTGTGGCGGCATCTTCGAAAGTCACGTGCGAGTTACGGTGTTCGCCAATGTACTCCAAAGAGAATGGCACAAACGATGTGAATAGTAAAATCAAAGAGAGCAATAAGAGAATCGAGGTGACCGGGTTGCCTTCGAACACGTCGCCCAAGGATATGCGCACTACTATGAACACCAATATGGCCAAGGTTATTATTAAGCCGAGAATAGCGGCCGTCATCCCGGTGGCTACCCAAGCATCGGGCTTAATACGCCAGAACATCACAGATTCTCCATCGAATAAAAACGGATACCTTGCATTCTCCCCCGCACTGTACTGGCAATTGAAGACCTGTCCGAACTTCGGTTTCAGCTCTAGACTTGTGCTGTTCGCTCTGTTGTAGTGATAGAAAGTAGTTATGTTGGTAACAAAGTTTTGGGACGCAATCTCCCGCAGTTCTATGTGATCCTCGCCAGACGAAATGGTTGCAGTTCCGTGACCATTTTCGCTGACTTTCTGATACATTTGGAAGTTCATTAGGGAAGCAAATCGATGCATGTGTAATAGTTCTAGAATTTTTGCAGGTTCGTAGTACTGACGATACTCAGGCGTTTGCCAGTCGGCGATGAACGTGAGAAAATTGAAGCATGACTCGAATATGAAAATGTTTTGCTCCCGCTTACAGTTGCGCATCAACGAGCCCTTAAGCCAACGCACCAGCTCCAGCATTGGACGAGCAAAAGCGAAAACTCGAGATGGTTGAACTGATTTGCCCTTAAATGTTTCGTCTAATGTAGATAAGGTAGAATTCCCGTCAATCGCATCCGCATCTATTTCGCGTTCCATAAGTATATATGATTTATCTGGTAGATCTGTAGTGAAAAATATTCAATACTATAGACGCTTTTTTATGTATGGGCTACTGAATACTCAAACACGGAGTTTAGTCCTTGTTTCTGGCGAGTTTTACCTGATATAAACGTACGATATGCGCGATCGGTGGGAACTGCGAAAATTGTGCCATTTTCTTCAAAATGGTGAGCCATCTTATTACCGAAAAGGATGTAGACATTTTTGTCGCTCTTGAAATGCATTAAGCACATTTGTTCATGCCGTATTGCCTCCATAAACTCATTATAAGTTGCCAGATTTTCAGTGAGAATTTCCACAGAAGCTATACTTTCTCCCCAAGGCATTTGATGTAATAAGTGCGCCACTTTTGGAAAGAGATATACGTGTGGCGAGAGTATGGGCCAAATATTGTACTCCAGATCTTTGATGATCTGTTCTGAACTCTTGTATACATCATGGTCGACAAATATTCCAATGGCGTGAGTTATGCACTGCTGCAGATACTGCACCTCCTGCATGAGTAAGTTTTCGGCAATTGTTTCATCTTCTATGAGGATAGCACGGACTCCTGTAAATATTAAAGGATTTTCTGAAGCTATAATCAGATATATATAAGAAACTTCTATATTAAATTCGTAATTAAATATGCTTGCATATGTTTCTTTCCCGACAGCAATGCTTTTGCTGGCAGCCCTGCTTTGACATTTCGTTAATGAAAGTGCTAACGGCAGGATAGGCAGCTTGTCTTAAGGTTTTTGAGTTTCATATTGTACATGTACAGCAAAATTCATCAGCCAGCCTGTGGTAAATTTGACTCACCAATTTCAAAATCTGCATCCAACAGATTTGCTCGGTTAATACGGTTCACAACAAAAAGTACCGAGGCGACGTCTGTTGTCAGAATGCTGAGCATGGCATCGCCTTCAATAATGTGGACAAAGTCCCGTTCATAGCGCACATTTTGTGCCTGGTCCATGTCGGTGGGCATTACTCTCAAGCCATGTATGCAAATCTCCGGTATGGTGGCCGATGTACTGCTATCAGTGATCTCCGTTGTCGACGAACTCGGCGGCGGTGTGGTGCTTGTTGCCGCTGTTGCAACTCTAGTTGCGGAACCATTATAGAGGGTTCTCGGCGTTGGTTTAGTAATTTTAAGTAGGCCAGTTTTAAGGGTAGATCCTTGCGCGCAGACACCAATTGAATTTAAGCAAAATGTTGAGGCCAACACAAGAGGCCATAATAAAACTGAAAAGACGTATGGATTTACCTGAAGGCAATTAAGTTTTTTTCAGTGCATGTAGAGAATATTGCTCACCATTTTTTCTTGCTGCCATACTCGTTTATTCGGGAACTTCTACCTCATTTGTAACGCTTCCTGGTTGACAATGTGTCTGCTTGATACCTGGATAGATAATTATGTTTGCGAATCAGGTTAGATATTGAGGTCATAGCAAGAGTGTTATGTAATAATAACGTTCATTCTATCTTAGATCTGGGGCACCACTAACTGAATTATGCAAATTGTGCTGGTTATTCTGCAAGTTTTGTTTCCTCGTTCTTTGGTTTGCCTATTTCTGCATAGCGCCCGCCATTTAGTGTGTCTGCATGTACAAATGTATGTAAATATGCATTGTTTATGGTGGCATTTACATATGTAAAGGAAGGTTATTTTTATTTCCTATTTTCGAATACATATGTACGCATGCAGATGTTTAAACGAACATACGTATTTTGCAGATTTACTATTCACTGTAATCGCATTAGACCTACAGCAATTCGAATAGTAAAGGCAAGGAGACACTGGAATATATCTACATATGTACATTCATATGAACATTCATGCAATGTTGTGCACATTTTGAGGTACATATTTGCTGTTAACCAGACAGCGTAAGTAAGCATTATAAGGAAAACGGAAAAAATATTCATAACAATAATAGAAATAAATAATAACATCGCACAACAGCGTTTCTGATGATTAGGTTATGTTACATGATACTACCCTAATTTATAATGACCACTTAAACTCTGTGCATGAAATTTCTCTATCAGCTCTAGTTTGAAATTATGACAAATGGTATTTCGCATTTTTTCGTATTTTCGAACTTTTTTTTGTATATAAGAAATTGCGTGAAAATAATGCCAAAAATCAATGGTAAGTCCTAGCTACTTCAAACTTTATCATAATAAAATTTATTGGACTACAAAATTTCATACTCGAAAAAATTCTAAAAAAATCCGATTAAAAAGTTGCAAATTTGCATGAAAATTTATTGAATTTTCCTGAGTTTTGCACAAAGTCTAAAAGTACTATTTTTATATTTTAGAAGTTGCGGCCAGAGAGCTGTTCTGAATGTTCCAACAATAGTCAGCCATCATGTGTGGTGGTTTTACAAAAGTGAAATCTATAACTCGTAAACAAGAGCTGCTAGAAAAGAAATTAGGCTACATATATTTAGAAACAGCGAAGTAAAATTAAAAAAAAATGTAATTTTGTTGGCCAGTGTTATTAATAAGTTTTTATCATAATCAACAATTTTTTAAGCTTAGATATGATTTATTACTCGGCCATAAAAATACGAAAAACAAATAAGAACGAGCCCGCATTAAAGTTAAAATTCTTAAAATAAAAATTAACTTAAAAACAAGTAAGTAAGTAAGTAAGGCTATGCCGAAGGCTTCATACCTTTCTTGAACATCAAAAAATTTTACTTTAACAGATTACTGCATTTTTTTTCAACCGAGCTACAAAAGAACACTCGCTTAAATGACGAAATACCTGCAAAGCAACAACACAAACTCGGCTATTTATCCGAGTTCAGCCAGGTCGGTTAAAAAAATATGCGATCGGAGGGTAGTGTTGGTAAGTGAAAAAACTGTTTTTATATCCATGTTTGTGATCGGTATGTAAGGCTGTAACGCAATTTAATGTGATTAGCTGCCTTAACAAAAAAGTTATATCGCACAAACTTGTATTTGAACGATCACTCGTATGGGAAATATAGATGATACAGCACGGATCTTGACAAATTTCTCAGTGCACTTTGTATGATTACCTCTAGCTCATGAAATTTCTGGGTTTTAGGTGTCCAAATAAAGGAGTTTTTAAGTAGAACCCCATATAGGAATAATCAGTTGTATGGACGCTATAGGTTATAGTGACCCGATCGTAATAATTTTCACTCCTTTTTGCTTCTAGCTGCATAAATGAAGGAGGTATAATGAAAAATCTCATATTTGAACAATCAATTGTATGTAGCTATGTATATGTTGTTGTGGTCCGTTTTTCCGGTTCCGACAAATGATTAATATATATCGGATATCTCGAAAACTGAGAGACTAGATTGTATATAAACAGACGGACAGACGAACATGGCTAAATCGGCTCAGATCGACGTCCTGATCATATAAGTAAGTATACATTTTTGTGGGTCTATCTCTTCTTATTCTGGTACTAACAAACATCGGGCCAAAGTTATAATAACATTTCATGCTCATGAAAGGTATAAAGAACAACCACAGCAACCACACAATCAAGTCTAAATAGTTACAAAATCCATTACCGTTACCCTGGATTGTACATATTTGGGTTGGCAAATGTAAAAGTGTAAAAAGCAACAACAGTTAACGTTGCGAACTGATTTCAGTGTGTAGACCATTGGCTCTATAAGCCGGAGTCGTTGGTTCGAATTCCAGTAAACTCGATGAAGAAGTGTGACGAGGATAATGGAGCATATTATAGACGGAATAAAGTAATTTCTAAAGTTAGTTGTAATTTTTTTCACTGATATTCTATCGAAAATTATGTCAAAAAGCCTTAACTATCTTTAAAGTCGGCTTTATTTTGACTCTGAATATACCACAATCATATTAACCCATTTGTGCTCTCTGTACTATATAAACGACACCAATTCAACCCACGTTTAAAAGTTTACTATTATTATTAAAGCGAAATTGCTTAATAATTTACTGGTATTAATTTCACATCAGATAGAATAAAAGATAAAAAGGTATAACTGGGGATACCGGATTTGGACAATTACAAATCGACTTTTCACATTAGAAGTGATCCACATGAAAAGCTGGGATGTTTTCTTGAATTATTGCACTTTGCTTTAAAATATCCGATATTATAAAGTGGAAAGAGAGTAAATTAATCAAAACGTTATGCCTTGTCAGGTAATGTTTTAACAAGTAATTTTTAGAAAAAAAAACCGACTTCAACTCTCATATAAAAAAAAAAAATATATATATATCTCATGATCCGCTGATCGGATCTTAACCAGATTAGTATGGGACCACCCCGAAATCGGTTGACGTGGTCCAAAGTTATGCGGTAACATACATCAAAAAAAAAAAAAAATATTCCGACGAACTGATAACCTCCTCCTTTTTTGGAAGTCGGTTAAAAATTAACACGCCTAAGTGACCGCTGTACTAAAAAAGTACACTCCCAAAAGTTAACTTTTAAGCTTTTTTTCGTTAATTTTATTTCCTTAGTTTGTTTAAAATGGTTTTTATGATCACATAAATAAAAGTAGATATAATAAAACTCCAACCGTTTTTGTTTGGGCGTAAATGGGTTAATAAATATTGTTCGGAGTAAATGAGTGAAGAAATAAAAAAATGTAGAGCACAACGTTTAGAGTTTTGTCGGCAGAATTTAATTGTTTGTTCATTGCTTGATAGGCCCACAGGTTGGTCTATATGGCGTGGCATTCTGGATGCCTTTATTATTATTTTATCTCATTGTGTTATTTGGCAAACGCTGTGACAGTCTTAAAACGAATAAATAATTAGAGAGGTTTAAAATTGTTAATAAATATGTTTGTTCGTGATTACATTCCAAATTTTCCAGAAAATTTTCACATTATGTATACATATGTGCATGTTTTTATTGTTTCCTACAGAAGTGGGTATATTTGCTCTTAATGACCCACTAGTGTTTTTAGTTATTAAGTACTCGTGTATCTATCCACTTTGTTTTCTACCACCACCTTATACGTTTTTGAAATTGTATTGAGTTACATTTTTAAATATTTTTAACTGCACATTGTCATAATTTCTGCTGGCACACACTTATGTACGTATGTACATGCATTGTATGTACTTGGGCATACATACATACATACACATGTATTTACTGCATACATTATTCTGTACATTGTACATGTTTGACGAACGTGCTCTTTTGAGGTGCTCAATTAAGCATAAAATTGGCTGGTAACATTTTAGCGTATGTAGATGCATATGTACATACATACATACATACATACATACATACATACATACATATGTACATGTTTACTTGCTACTAATAGCTTCAGTTAAAACAGTGGTTAGGTTTTTTTTTCTTTTTCTACACATTCTTCATTGTAATTTTTCACATTTGTCTTCTTTTGTAGGGCACTTGTCCCTGGTTAAATCTAAAAATCAATAGATAAATCCATTTCAGTTGTATGTTGTCAATGTGTTTGTCATGGTGTTAGCCCTCGAAGCACTGTTTCTATGCCAATACTGCCAATAATTTTGCTTGGCCGCCGTTTACATTTATATGCAAATCAGATAAAAAATAATAATTATAATAAATAAAAGTCAGACTGTTTTAATTTAAATTTGATGCCCGTTTTGTGTGCACAAATGAACATTATTACTTTTGACGGTTTTTATGCATTTGCTATGTAGTTAGTTACCACCTTACCACTTTATCAAATGAGCCGGATCTCTGTGCACAGGTACTATTTGAGCGGCAGTAGAATTTTAACTGTTTTACCGTTGTCTTTCACTGTCATTCTACACTTTATTTACCAACCAATTGTATTATTTGAGTGAGTCGGACTTTACGCTTCAGCAGGTTTAAGCTCAAATAAAAAGTGGCCACAGGTTACAGCGCATGCTCCCTTACCCTTTGTAAGGTCGTTCGACAAAAAAAAAAAACGCTAAAAAGGGTAAATAACAATTGCTAAATGCGCGCAGTTGAATTACGACAATTTTTATTTCTGTTACTTGCGCGGATTCATCGCTCGAACTGATACATATGGCTTATTGTTGACCCAACCTGCAGAATATTGGTAGCCGAATGCTAGTTTCTGGATGGCTTCATGTTTACTGCTTTAGAATTTCATTGCCTTGATGACTGTCGACAGTGTTTGGCTTGGTTAATCGTCGCCATGGTTATGTTCATACATACATACATACATACATGTATACATATGTACATAGTTCACAATATGGCTTGTAAATTGTGTATGTATTTGAATATCAAGCTTGCCAACAACGCGAATATTGGGCTATGTCTTAATCGAAGACTATCGAAATTATAAAGGTCGACCAACTTTAGCATCCTGAAAAACTCATTTACCTACTATACAATTAGAAGTGGATATCTAATGATTCGTACCTATTGTTTAGCCCTTTTCCTGTATTTAATTTTTTGTAACATTGGAAGCGTGCTACAAAAAATCTTATTAATATTTCTGAAAACAAATTAAACTTTGGCTGCATTTCTTTATACATTCCAGATAATCCCATTTCACAGCCAGAATAAACAGAACAGGAACGTTCTAAAGAATAAGTAAACAAAACAGTTTATTTCAAACTGAATAGTTTACGTGAATTTCAAAATCAAAAACGTTTCAAAAATATTTTTAGAATTTAATTTAAACAGACCATTTTGTAAAATTCCAGTGACACGCAAGTTGTGGTAATTTACTGTACAAAAAATACGTGAAAGTCAAGTAAAATCGCCAATAAAAGCACATCGTATGGAAATATCTAAAGCGTTTCATCATATAAAAATGCTAAAATTAAACTATCATGAATTAAAATATTTTTCCCGAGTTCTCAAAAAAAATGTAGAATATATTGAACAATTACACGGAAAGGTTGTAAGTGTCTTGTGCAAGACATATATTGTACAAACGTCCGCAAAGGTTGCAGTTGAACAGGCAATTAGGGTGGTTTTTGAAATGCCTGTGCGCTGTTGTTGCAGCAAAGGGTAGGCTTTTGATTTCTTGATCTACTGAAGGCAGAAAAACCGGGAAGGTTTATTAAAACGGGTCATTTGTATTTTATATTGTAATTTTATCTGAAATTTTTCAAAATTTCTTTATATAATTCTCTTCTCATGGAAAAAATTTAAAATTTTTTAATTCAAATCTTAACCAAAGATACTTAAAAAGGTATAAAATATTCATTCCAACATATCTGCATAAAAATCAATTAGTTTGTGCATAAATAATTTCATTAATAATTTAATAATGAAATAAAAGTTTTATTCCGTCAAGCTTAGTGAAATAATTATTGATTTTTCTTGAGTGCTTTTACTCCTTTGCGGACTTTTGTACAATATATTGCAAAAATTTTAGGTAGCTTTAATAGCTACCCAAAAAAACGTTTGAATATTTTTTTTTTTTTACATTTGGTATTATGAGGCTCTATGAACCTTGCAATTAAGAGGACAAATTTTTATATTTATCAGGGACGGATTTGACCGGAAAGGATTAGAAATCCATTCATACATACATATTTATCTGTAATTGAAATTTTATTTTTTTCTATTTTGAAAATAGTGCCTTCAAATTAGTGTAAAAATTGTCAGTCTATGCAGCATCTATTTTTCAATAGGGAATATAATCTTGATCATCACTTTGCGTAGGATTTAAAAATTTGTGATGAAATTATATGCGTCTGGAATTACCACAAATGCACAAAGCCATTGTAAATTTATGATGTGTGTGTATGTTTTATATCTCTATGTCCAAGGCGAATTCATATAAGGTGGTTTGGTTTCAACAGCTGTGAATGGTGCTTGAATGTCAAAATGTTGTATTTCACTAGTGAGTGAGTGCAACTTTCTTTTCCTCTGTTTCCTTCAAGGAAGAATTACTAAAATTTGACGATGGCCTATTAAAATAAAAAATGAAATACATATAAGTTAAGTCTCAATGAGCGAGGTGAATTAAAAAATTTAAGTTGCGGTGAACCAACCGTTCACTGAAGATCAAATTCAAACAACGATTTCACAACGTTATAAAAGTTTTTTATTCTGTGCTCAATGCACCACTAAATTTATGTTATAAAAGTAAACCTATCGTGTGCTCAATGCACCGCCCAAAAATAGACTGATCTTAACAATTCAATATTCCTACCAACTAACTTCTTCGATCGATTGCGCGTGTAGGCCGATATTGCCTACCTTGCAATTTTTTGAAATCGAGCAATAACCACGCCTACCTCCCATATAATGGTAATTTACAGAAATACGAGATTTCCAATAATACGCATCAAATATGTACATATGTTTTGTATAGGGTGTTATCAATCCCAATTTGCAGAATTTCGTATTAAGTATTAAACGCAAGATGGTTAAGCATGCCGTGTCTTTGTATCAAACTTTTTTTTAACAAAAGTTACGCCAAGGCGAATTTATATAAGGTGGTGTTACTAGCTCAGCTGATTTTGTGTATGTGTTTCGCCGCACGGCTTCTGATATCAAATTGAAAAATTTTTGTTTGAATTTCTACACACACTCTTACAGATTTTGACAGTTTATGCGCCGAAGCAAAAACAAAAGACATGTAAATTTTTGTTTTTGTACTCCTGCTATCACCTTATATTAATTCGCCTTGAGTTACGCACTTTGAGTTCTCCACCTCAGTGTATTAAATTTTTCGGGCACAATTCAATGAAACACAAATTGACATTTTCGTCAAAAATTAAAAAAAAAACTTTTTTAGAAAAGTCTCAATATTTTTTGCCGCCCTTATTTATTTATAAGGTTCCTACCATTTCCTACCAAATCATCTCTGCAACGTGTCTGCTCAAGTGCCGTCTCAGCCGGAGAGTCGGTAAGGACTAGAACCATACGACTTAAACCCCACTATCGCTAGCACTCGATTATCTTAGCAAAATGGTACGACAACGGCCACGAAAGTCCATCGAGGAACTATATGCGTCAAAATTCGAAGCGAATTCAATGAAATCTCAAGTAAACAATAGCATACTAAAGAATTCGCGAGACCGCGGAGAATACGGAGCTTACATTATCACTTCGAACACGCCATACAATACCAACTGTCAAGCGGCGTCCGCCAACGCAGCTAATCTGAATGCAAACGGTGCCCCAATGGGAGCCAGCAGCATGACGACTGGCCGACGAAAGAGCGCTCGCCCCGGTAGCAGCAGTATGAAGCCAGACAAGTATTTCGGCAAGGAGGAGAAAGCACTGAATCTGGATGATATCAAGAAAGATCATAGCAGCGCTGCAAAAGCTAAAACCACGCGACCGGAGAAGAACAGCTATGGTGCAACATCGGCGGTGTACAATGTGCCAAACTTGTTCGACAATAAGAACTATGTGAACTTTGCCGATAGTAGTGGTCAAAAAGAACATACCAATCATCACCATCATCATCACGCAAGAAATCACGACGATGATAAGGACGATGACACTGAGGAGTTTTTTGAACTCATACGCCAAACCGTAGAAAACGCTATTGGGGTAAGAGTTGACAGCACAACTGAAATACTAATTTTCAATGTTTCCCTCTTAGAAATCTATCTCAGATTTACTTAATCGGAATTTTCGTGAACTATCGGCAAAGGTCGATCGCTTTTCAGCTGAACTGAAATCCACCAATGCCTTGCTGAACAAACTTCAAACTGATATTAATAACAGTAAGCGACATTTGAAAGTTTCTGTACAATTTTGATGTTTTTGTTTCATCTACTCCATAGAGGTTGTCCACTATGGCGAGGAGAATTCGCGACACTTTAGGTATCTTTGCATGAAGTCGGAATATGACAAGATGTTCTACCAACACCATACGATGCTGGTGGCATCCACGTCAGGGACTCAACCAACTGCTGCACCAAATCCACCCGCAGCGCAACCCCAGAAACATTGTAGCGGATCGAAGCCAAGTACATCGACCAATGAATGTGAAAAGGCACAAAATTCCTGTTCCTGCCGCAGCACTATAAAATCGTCGCCCTCGGAGCCCCACAAGACCTCTTCTGAAGAGCGCAGCATTGGTCAAAAGTCATCCGAGATTGGAATGCGGGAAGTGCTGGAGCACATTCAACGCTTCTGCACTCAAATGCAAATGAGTGAACTAAAATGCGACGATCAACCATTGCCCAAAAGCAACAGCTACCGCTTGGAAGAAGCCATGAAAATCAGCAAGCCCGTCTTCGATGAGGATGACGATGAATTTCAAATGAGCTCAGATGGCATGACGCCGCGCAGCGACGAACACTTGCACCACAGCAAGTATGGCGGTACGACAATGCGTAGTGGCAGTACAGCACGTGGCGGCAACGGAGGCGGAGACGCCTAAGGCGAAGGTATACATATCTACATATTAAAACATTAAAAGGAAGAGCTAAATAGAAGATCGAAGCAATCTAAAAACAAATTATAATAAATTTTATGTGAATATTGAACACTGTGAGAGAGTGCCTCACTGAAAAGTAAATATGTATTATAAACATTTTAAGTCTTGCTCCAAATTGTGCTCATTATCGGTTATTTTTTTCTTGAAGAATTGGAAATTTTTAACCAAAATGTATTTTGTATTTGCTTTCTTGGTTTTATTCTTTTATGGAATAAACTAAAGCTGATTGTTTTGCACTTCTAGTAAAATTTCTGAAATTATTTTTGGTCTTTAGAGATAAACGATTTTGAGTAAATATTTGTTTGTCTCTGGGGGTTTCAATATATACTTATATATACTTATAAACTGGGACGCGACACATATTTATTTTTCTTTAGTTTATTTAATGTTACTTTTATGAAAATTAGCTGTTCACTTAACAAATACCCGGGTACAATATGGAATCTTTCGGTGAATACTGCGCATGCGCTGAAAAATGAGCACGAACACCCACGGAGAAAAGATCAAGTGAGGCCCCGAACGACCGAAA